GAGTGAAAAATGTTGGTAATGTCCCGCAGCCAGGTCTTTTGTTCAGAGTACGGTCTTTTGTTACAGGGCCCTGTTTCTTTTGTCGGAGTTCGGAGACCCCGGCCACGTATATAAACCATACGTCTCCGATTCCGGAGTCCCCGGCAAGAAGTGGTTAATCTTCTTGGGGCCCCAATTTATACACTGGTTATAATTACTGCATCTTTTGATTGTCATTCCAGATGGCTGATGTTTTCATTAAATGCTCGGTGACAACAAGGCTAAAGCACACTGAAAACCTTTGTATGGGTCTCTCTCAACCTCTCTAGGGCCAATAATTATTGTCTGACTCTGACACCCATACACCAAAGTAATAAGTAATAGAGGCAGAATTGTTCTTTTTTTTTTTTGAGCGACTCCGCACTCCCTGATAAAAATAATACCAGAATAAATGCACACCATCCCTGCAGAAAAGACTCTCCCAGGAGTGATTGACAGCTCTATTGTCCCGGTAGACGCAATGCTGATAGTAAAAGTATTTTGGTCTGGGCCACATTAATTTGAAGATGCTGCCAGTTCTAGGAAGACTTAATTGCTGGACAGCTTTAGCAATTATTAAGTTGATTCTTTGCAAGCAAAGCAGACTTTCAATACTCGGGGCAAGTCAGAGTTATAATATGTTGCCTAGAAACAGTATTACCAAGGAAAATCCTGGGCCTGCTCAGGCCAGCTTCCTTGCTACAAACCAGACTTTTTTTTTAGAAGTGTGCAGAGTTACTTGGCCGATGTACAGCCTGGGATAAATTACATAATGCTCTTTTGTATCCTTTTCCTGAAATTAAAGATGTGCAATGTAGATATATACCAGGCCTGCAATTTTTTTATAACTTCTTCCACAGTATTTCTGATCAATCTTTGACGAAAAAGAATTACCCTGCTGAGAAATCTGAATACATGTAAATATACATTTCACAACCACACAATGCCGCCACTGCAGTGCAGACTGACTGCACGCAATTTGCCATATTATACAACATGTTTGCGAAACTTGTAAAAATCTTAGAGTCATTTTTGTATTAAAAATATATATATTTGAAATGTACAGATCGCCTATATTGGAGAAGTGATTGATTATTTCCAACAGCAGAGTTTTTGAAGAATCCCAGCCAGGGAATGACGACCACATAGTCGCTCACAATGCAAGCTGTCTACTGTAGAGAACCGCGAACAGCGAAAACTGGGTAATCAGCTGATAGATCGGATACTTACTGTCGTATGGTAGCCCTCCACAGTAGTTCGGCTGGCATCCTTTGTGTACGCATAATCCCCCTGGCTCCCTGAACACGTTTAAAGGAACGTGGGCAGAACTGGGGCCATTCACATATGGGGGGACAGGCAGATTAACGATGATAGTTATGTTCCTGCCATTCGCACATAGGCGAACACTTAAAATATTTTTCACGCCTCACCCAATCGGCTGCATCCCTGACGCCAGTGAGGAGGTCCTTTGGAATACAACCATCCTCCATGCACGTGACATGTCCCAACCAATGCATGTGCCCCTGCTTCAGGAGGGTGAACATTGAGAAGACCTGTACCCTTTTGAGCACTGTGGTGTTGGTGACACAGTCTCTCCACGAGACACGAGGTGCTGAAGATGTGCCTTTAGGCATCGCATGTGGAAGGCACTGAGCATACTGTCCCATTACCTGAGTTCTCTAGGTTGATTGTCAGGCTGAAGGCATTGCAGGTAGGGGAAAAGCAGTTTAGGACCTGCTTCAGGTCTTTTGCTTTGTGTGTGTAGTTATCGCTGCATCATCAGCAAAAGGAATCCCCGAGGAGTCTTATCCGCACTTTTGTCTTGGGTCTGGCCAGACTAAAGAAGTTTCCATCAAGTGTTGTGCAGAGATACATACCCTCTGTGGCTGTTTCAAAGGGATGCTTGAGCAGGACGGAAAAGAGGCTTCTGAACAAAGTGGGAGCAAGGACACAGCCCTGCTTACTGTGCTGTTGATGTTAAATAGCTCAGATGATGTAGCCTCGTACTTGATGGTACCGCACATTCCCTTGAGAAAATATTTGATCCGACTGAGTAGGGTAGGAGGGCAGCCAATCTTTGCCAAGACCTTGAAGAATCTAGCTGTAGGTGGTACGGATGGCCTGCAAATTCCTCTCTGAAGGGAGGTTCTCATAGGCTTACAGGGTTTGTCACTTTTCTTTGATACGGGATAGCAGTTGTTTGGCATTTGCCTCAAAGCAGTCAGCTGACTTGTTTTGCCTCTTGCCAAAAGTGGACAAAAAGTGACCATCTTTTGCTGGCACTATTACAGCGTGGTTCAGGAAGGGCATTTTCCAGCACCTCAACAAGCTCTTCTACCTTGTTGGGATCACGAGTCAACCCCCTTATTTGCTCTGTGGATTTTCCGGGGCTCGAACTTCGCTTTGTAGACTACAAGGGAGTGGTCGTGTGACAGCCTGCATTCTGGAAGCTGTGGGTCAGTTTGACGCTTCCCATAATACCACACCTCGTGAGCACCAGAGTTGGTGCCAGTGGTTGGACCTAGGGTGTCTCCATGAGACCTTATGCTGGAGCTTGGTGTCAAAGAAGGTGCTGGTGATGCACATATCATAATGACAACAGAACTCCAGGAGGCACTGCCCATTGTCGTTCATCTTCCCAACTCCAAATTGGCCCAAGCCGGATGGCCAAGAGCTTTTGTTGGCACCGACTCTGGCATTGAAGTCCCTTAGAAGAAAGTCTGGCTCTTGTTAGGGTATGTCGCTAAGAACGGAGTTGAGATCATTGTAAAACTTATCCTCAGCATCTGCAGAGGAGGTCAGTGTTGGCATGTAGGCGCTGATGAAGCTGACCATTCCTGCTGCTGTGTTGGAGTTGGAGTTCAAAAATCCGTTCAGACCCCTCTGTGGGCAGTACGATGGAACCTAGCGGTCTGTTCCTGATGGTGAAGGCAACGCTGTACTCCCTGGTCTCTTTGGGGGCTTTGCCCTGCCAAAAGAAGGTAAAGTCCCTCTCCCTAATGCCTCCTGGTGAGGGCAGATGTGTTTCCTGAAGGGTGACAATGCCCATGTTGGGCCTGCTCATTTGGTTATTGATCACGACAGTCTTGTGAGCATCACTCACTGCCTGCAGATTCTCTGAGAGGCCAGGTGTCATGGTCCTGATGTTCCATGTGCCCAGTCTAAGCACTGGGCTGCATTGTTTTCATTTTCTCTTGCCTGGTGCATGTTTGATGCCTAAACCCCACTTACCCAGTGGAGCAGACAGACCATGGCGGGATAACACCTCATTGGCTGGGGTTACCCAGCTTGAGGCGGGCAGTAGCTGTCAAGTGAAATCCAAGGATTTCTCCCACCATTGGAAGCAACCCCTGGCACCTCACTCTATGCCATTTGCTCTGGTAACTTTTGCTTCCCGTGTTGTGTCGACGCTGTGAAGCGATGCTGGAGTATCCTCTCTAGGGCATGCGCCTGGGCAGTAGTGTATGGAGAACCAGCTGTTGCTGCAAACCCCCTTCGGGACTCTAGCTCTGGAGTTTTGCTTAGGGTTTACTCCCGAAGCCTTTCCCGTATGCTGCAAGGCAGTGGAGGTTTGAAATCAGGGTTTGTGTTTGCGTTCAAGCCCCACTTACCCGGAACAACTGGTTTTTAGGCACCTGATATCTGCCTTCGCCCCTTCCCCTGTCAGTAAAGCCAGTTCTGCCTGGCTTAGGGACTAAGCCACACGTGCAGGCCAGGAGCTGGACTTGGTTATCAGAGGCTGTTTTTGAGATGCCATATAGGAACATTTCATAGACAGTGGGAGCTCATTCCGAAAAGCCACCCCTGGCAATGACAAACCTTGGAACCTTGTCATTTTTAATGATAAGATCTCTTTTTATTACTTGTGTTTTCACCTTTTTGTGTGATTTAGTGTTCTGCTCTTCTGTATCTTTTATTTCATTTCATTATATTCAACTCTGTGTGTATACTACTTTATTTTATGTTTACATTTACATGTAACACTCTCTATAAAGATTGAATGCAATTTGGCTTCCAGGCCCCGAGCTGTGATTTTAGCAATGAAATAAATAAAATATTAAAGTAATTCTTTTATACATCTACCTACATGTATACTGTTTCCTTTATCTGTTTGAAAGAAACACATCTGGAACTGGTATTATCTTGAAATTGAGGTTTAAAGCCAAAAGATAGCACCCCCATGGACAGGTTGATAGTTCCAAAGGCCTGCCCATCTGTAAGCTTGTGGATCCAATTTGACTACTCAAAGTGTTTTCTGCCGTGTGGGGGATTTGTAGTAATGTAGTGGTCATCCAAACTGATGCAAAGGTTGCCAGGAAGGGATAGCAGGGCACTTTCTGTTTGTTCCATCAGTTATCCTCAAAGCGAGAAAGAGAAAAAATACTAAGGAAAAACAGAAGTTTTGAAATCCCTTTGTCACTAGCATGTAGGGTACGCATCTACAGGAATGGCCATACATATACATGTACATGTACGTGTGTGTCTGAGTAGAGGAACATGTTGATGGGGATATGTACATGTGGCATTACTGTTTCAGTAGCCCTGAAAGACTGACATAATTTCTTAAAACTTCGCAATGCCTGATGATTGACAAGAAATTTTCTCTCCTTTTTAAGGACATATTAAATATTTAAAAACAGAGGATATCAAACAACCAAGTCCCTTCTCACACATGAGACAATGTATGTATATCTGGCTTGCTTGTAGGCAACTTCATCTTGAATGTACTGCTCAGTCTAAGCATCATAGCAATCTTTTTATTATACTCATGACCAAAATGTTATTAGATATTTTAAACAATGAAAGCCAATTCTCTGAAGTGTGAAATTCAGTTCAGTCTTACTTATTCACTGTTGAGTCCTGTCTTTAAGTGAGTTCATACATGTACATGTAGGTCCCAAAGAAATTTGTTTTATGGGCTTTTTTTGTTTATCGTATCTTTACATGACAGATGTAACAGAATTGAATGTGACCCCAGAGAAGTCACGATATGTAAGCTCTCATAATGCTCCACAGTCAGGGTTTCGACCTGTTACAGAAATGGGTAAGTTGTAGCCGCTTTTTAAATAATCTGAAGTAAGCGTGTAAGGCCCTTCTCCGTGTTCTCTCTTTTTCTCATCTTTGAAGCTGCCTTTCAATGTAACACTGATGAGGTCAACTTGAATGGGGCGTGGAAACCATGAAAAGGTCCATGCAATTCAATGAGAAAATTTGCTGTTTTTTTTTAATTAATCTTAGTTTACTGCTTGCAACCTATGCAGATTACTGTACATATGTATTATTTCACCCGTAGTGCGCCCCCATTCACTCGACCCCCGCAAAGGTGTCAGCCATGTTCTTCTTTTTCTTAGTGCCATTACGCCCACACATGTTTGTCCTGCTTTGAATATTTTCTTCAGTTTTTCCATCGGTAGCATCAGTTTTATTTCTCGATCACCTTGTTCATTTTTTTTGTTCTAATTAAGGGTCTGTTGTTTAAACGTTTAATCGTTTATAAAACGAAAAAAAATTAGTTATCCATTTAGAGATTTTCCTAAATGTTTAAACGGAACTAATTGTTGGAGGTTGCACAAAGTTTAATTGACGCAATCTGGGTTACTTTTTCTTTTCAAACGATCCTGCAAAAGTGTCTTTAAATTTCAAAACACTTCAGCACCTGGTCAAGTCAAAGGAACTTTTGATAACTCAAAGTGCACAAACTCAAGACTCCTCTTTATATCTCAAATACATTCCTCATTACCGCTGAATGAATTGCTGATTCTCTGTGGTAGCGATGTGGTGACCACACTGGATGGAGGAAAGTTTGTGTGTGCCACGGCTATAGCCTTAGTGCCGCCGCCTGCTCGACTTCAGCACAGATGCCCCGCTCACATGGTGACTGTCCAATCACAACCCTTTACAGCACTAAGTGAGATGCGTCCATGCTGCGGTGCTGCAAGTGTGCCTTTTGCGTAGCCAAATCTCACCTGAATAAAAAAGGTTAAAATTTGCTTTCTGGCATTTTGTTCTGGTGTATTCAGCTGGTACGTGCATCATATCGAATTGCATTAATTCCCGCTTTATCCTTTGTTGTGGACAGACTAAAGCGTAAACAGACTCTATTTAGTTGTTGTCAAGCAGAAAAAGTAGACGTTCATCAGATGTAAGACGAAGGATCGGGTGCTTAAGGTTTTATTTGTCTAAACATTGAACAAAAATATCAGCTCTTTTAATACTTAATATCATTATTTTAGACACTAATACACCAAGAAATGATTATTTTCTAGTGGCTCAGCAAGTCCAGATTAAAAAAAAAAATCTAGTATAAATCCATTCTAGCTCTGCAGAAAAAGAAATCTCCCGCCCAGGAGTGATTGGCACCTCTATTGTTCCGTTAGACACAGTGTATCTTTTGAAATATTTGGGTCTGGATCACATATCTTTGAAGATGCCACTATCTCTAGGAAGACTTGCTGGGCAGATTTTTTTAATCGTAAATTCTCAGCGATTAATAAATTGATTCTTTGCAAGCAAAGCAGCATTGGTAGGATTGTTACACTTGCGCAGTTCCACAGTTATGCCACTGTTGCTAAGAAACAGTATTACCATGGAAAATCCTGGGCCGTCTCCAGCACGCTGCCTGGAGACGGCCCAGGAGCCTCACTTTTTTTGCAGTGAGCAGATTACCAGTTTGTTGTACAGCCCTGGATAAATTAATAATGGTCTTTCATCTCCTTATCTTGACATTAAACTATTTCTGTGACATCACTACTTTGTTCAAGGTGTAGATTAGTTTTACGAATCTACAGCAAACTGTAGATTCTTAAGTTACAAACCTACAGTTATTGTTTTGTAACAGCAACTGTTGATTCGTAAGACAATAACTGTAGATTTGCTACGAATCTACAGTTAATGCCTTGCAAATCTACAGTTCCAGTAGATTCGTGTCGACGAGGGGGTAGGCTCAAGTCCACTCCTCTCCTCATTTTGTTCATTCAAAGAGTGACCATTGGGTTGGGTAAGAGTAACATAAAACTGTGCTGCCGTGAGACTGATTTTACTGGGCCTCGTAATAGCCACAGTTAACAAAGTTTAGAGATACCGGGGACGCCCACACCCCGGCCTTACAGACCTTATGTGTTAAGGCAGAGTCAGAGGTCTTTTTATTTGTTATTTTAATTTATTTACAATGATGCAAAATGGTTTACCGAAATAGGTCCCAGAGGAAAAAGGAAATACCTTTTTACATGACGTTTAATTCACAAGGTCTATTACGTGGTTGCCATTCTTCAAAGCTCACTGACATGCATTTTGTTACCCTGGATTGAATCATCAGACATGGCCGTCCTCCTATGAATAATGACCAGCAGTTTTATGGACCCATGAAATTTAATTCTCTGCAGTCAAAATTTACTATATAAAGGATGATCAACAATTAGTTTCATGGAGAATGTTGCATTTTAGTGTTTAGTCCCCTTTTCTTCAAATCTGGTCAAAAGTTAGAATTTAACAATTAAAAAAAATCATTGTTCATGTGTGAAATGTGAACCATCATACAGCAGCTTTTTTGGCAATTTAGATTTGGGCTGAAATACAACAGCGTACTCTTCTTTTGTCAAATTAAACAGAAAACCGATTTACTTCTTCTTTGTCATGTTGACACTAACAGTGATATTAATTGTATCCCCATCCTTTGATGAAGACACAAGTTACCCAGAGGTAGTATTAGCGTGGTCAGCCGAGATATTGGTGGAATCTGAGGCAGAATTACTTTCATGTGGTTGATGTAGCATTCCTCAATTTCATAAAGTCTTGTGGTGGTTTTAGTCCGGAAGGTTTTGCTGCAATGACACACGTATAATAATGAATCCAAGGTGCAAGATGAAGAGAATACAGGTGCACGTATCAATCCAGCACTGAGTGTCGACTGCACAAATACTCCCATGAATTATGGAATTCCTCAATTTCATAGAGTCCACAGTGGTGGTTAGTCCGATAGGCTTGGCTGCAATGACATGCATATAATAATGAATCCAAGGTGCAAAAGGAAGAGAAGTGAGAAAGCATCCAGCACTGACGGTGTTGATTGCACCAATACTGTCGATGTTTGACTTAGCCCAAACCTGTGCATGTAAATGGAGCAAAGATGTGCACTCAGGCATAGGGTACAGGGCATCATGCTCCAGACTCCATGTTCGTGTAACAATGGGAAATAGTTTAAGTCAGAGACTAGACTTGGATTTCTAGATTCGTGGAAGAATGGAGTTGGCTTTGCCTCGCCCATTCTTACCTACTGAATCTACAGTTCCTCGTCCATTCTCCTTGACTTAATTTACGGAAAATAGCGCGTACAGTGTAGACATTTCCAGGCCTCAAAATTTTTAAACAACTTCTTCCACCAAAAATTTCATCTTTTTTGGAAAAAGAAAATATTCTGCTGAACACGCCAATGAATATATTCCATCTCCCATTTGGTCTCGCTCCCGGTTTTTTTGGTGATTGTGTTACCAAAATAGTCAATTTTATGTTCTTAAATTTAATAGTTTTTGCGGGCTGGATGGTGGTCCAATGTGGACCGTGCATCAGCTCTTGTCCCTTTTTCCAGCAGCCAGCAAAAGTTATCTGGTCGGGGACATACAACAAAATCTTGGTAACTCAAAGTCAATTAAGTTGAAAGATGGTTTTATCTGAGAGGCCAACTATAATACCTAAAAAATACATGTAACTCTGTAACTGCCCGCGATACCAGATCCAGTTATCTTGAGGTTTTTGTGACACCGATCAAAAACACTGCCAAATCACTTCAAAAATGAAAAATCTGCCACAAGACCTCGGTTTGAGTCATAAACACTGGAAACGCTTGCATGCGTGCTGCTCATGGCATGGCACATTGTGCACTGCGCGCACCACCACGATCGTGCAAACCCTATTTTCAGGCTATCCTGACTGCAGACTCTTTCATGGACAAGTTTCTATAACCGCACGACCAAAGAAAATGTGTTGTCATCAGTAAACCAAAGTGAAATAGGCCTGTGCCGGGTACCCGCCCGTTGATTTCTTTAGATAGAATAGTCATATAAACCTTTGCATCTAATGTCTTCTTAATCAAAATGACTTCTTTAGAGTTTCCATTTTTGTTAACTTACCAAAAACTGAAAGCTTTTCCTCCCACTTTTGGATCGCGCAGCATTACCAAGCAAATTCGTTGCAAACTCAACTACATGGGTGCAGCAGAAATGAATGTGACGTAATGGGTTCGTCAACTGTGCAGTGCAGGGAGGGAGGGTACCGTTGATAGCTCACTGTACAGTTGAAAAGTTGAGTCAAACTTTACGCAATGTCTACTTTTTAATTAATTGGAATTCTTATTTTTCATATAATTTTCTCAAAATTAAAAAATTCTTTATTAGAAAAGCAACTGTTTACAATGGTTCTGGCTGAAAATTAATTTTTAATTTTTGCATGGTTATTTTTTATTCATGAAGACGTTTTTGTCTCGATCCTAAACCGATCCAGAACTAGGAAAGGTGTTGTCATCACTTTCATCGATCAATCCTTTGAGTCCAAATATAAAAGCTTAGATTTTGAAAAAAATTGAAGTATATCCAAATCATAAAGTTGACTTCTGACCATATTTCACTTGAATTTGTGGATTTTTAGCTGCAGTCATGATACTGAATAATTTTCGTGATCTAGAACTAGGACTTTATCAAAACCTATTTGAACAAGAGACCGAAGGAATTTTGTCTTCTGAGGTGGAAGCGCTGTTGATGTACACTTGCACGACTGTATTTGTAACTTTCAAACTCTGTTGGCCTAAATGACTTTTGTGCGGAAGAAGTAGTGCTTACTCTTTGAGTTAAGAGTATTTTTGTCAAATAAAACAATATGAATGAAGATTATTTTATGTCGGGATTGCCGGCGAAGCGTGAGCAGACTGTGTAATATTCCAGCGGTACTGAGACTCCACATGGCATGCAGTAAGTAGCGATCATGCACAAATTGTGCGGTTGATCACTGGTAACCAAAGCACTAAATGTGCTCTACAAACCCAAAGAGTCAGAGAACCAGTTTAGTTTTTATACCAAGAAATATCGTCATCGTCAAACTTAAATTTCAAGATTATTTTTACATTCAAGCAACATGAATTCCTCAGTGATTCGGCGGAACTACACTGATGAGGAATTGAACAAAAAAGCAGGAAGGAAAAAAAAGGGAAATGTTGGCAGGTGCAAGTCATAATACAGACGGCCAATGAATTGTCACTTGTCAAAGTACTTATACATCAAAATCATCTTGACATTTCAAACCTCAGGGGAATAGAGTTATTCTACAGGATTACTAAACAACTTCATTGTGGCACCTTCGTGTTGCAAAACTTTCATATCGCTTATAGTCTTTTTACAAGGTGAAGCACTGCTATTGCTTTCACTTGGCCTTCCCCATGTGTGGTCACATGACCTTTGCAGTGTCAGTGTCAGTGATTAGACTGCCTGAAGGGGACTACAATTGGGCCCAGGTTAGCTTCAGTGTCTTAAAAGCCAGGATTGCAGTTGCAGGTAACGTTGATTTATGCAACGTGCATACAACTGGTCCTCTTGAGAAAGGAAATGCCCTTGCGATGACTCCTAACCCTATATAGCCTTCTGATACTTTCAATGCCATTTAAAGCATTTTGGTGGTGGGTTGTTGTTGAATCAGAAACTTCAAAATAAGTGGATATAATGGTGTAGGCATTGTTTGAGTTACGGAGGTATATTAGTACATAAAACTTTAATCCTTTTAACCTGTGACGTACATAACACGACCAGCGCTCACCATTTGTGCATGCCACATGCGTCCGCATGTACGTGGTCATGCAGCATCCGGGTCATTTCCTTTGAGCGGTTGCAGGTGCAGGTTACATGGTTCTAAAAATACCCGGAAATGCAAACCCCTAAAGTGAAAAACCCTGAAATTCTGTGGCTTGTTACACTGAACAGGATTGGTGAAAAGTCAACAAATCTGCCACATGAAGTTACTTTGTTGAAGTACTGTAGTTGATTTTTATTTTTATTTTATGGTAGAAGGAAATCTTTAGGTTTCAACAATAAGAAAATTTTAGTAAAATTATTTTTGGTCTGCAAAAAAATGCACTGTGAGATTGAATAAAAAGGGGGAAGGAAATCACCAAAAATGTTGCCACAGCAGAGCAAGTACATACACATTTCATGTACACTCAAGGAAAAAAGAAATGTACCTGTGATTTTTTTTTAAGTTTTAGCCTGAAATTTATGAAATCAAATGTATATGTTAGAATCCCACATATAAGTCCTTCACATTTTTGCCCAGTCGTCTAATCTTTGTATAATTTTATAATTTTTTTTTTAATAACAAAAACAAAACAAGTTAGCACCACCTCTCACAGAAGTGGCATTTACAGTTCAATAATTAACATGATCTCCATTCGCGTCAATAACAGCTGTAATTCACCTGATGGATCAACAGTAATGCTGCAGCTAGTCCTGTGGGATAGCAGCCTACTCTTCCTTCAGTGCCACCCCCAGCTGCTGTTGTGTCACTTGGGGATGATCTCATTGTTGGATGTGACAACCGAATAAGTCCCGCACATTCTCGATGGGGTTCAAATCCTGACTGAGAGCTAGCCATGGCAACACCTCAACATCGTTCTCCTCCAGAAAGTTGACGCACACCTGAGCCACATGGGGAACAGGCATTGTCCTGCTGGAACACAGCACCAACCCCAACGCGCTCCAGTAAGGGCAGTACAATTGGGTCCAGGATCTCGTTGTGGTAGTAGAGGGCATTATTGAAATTTCCTTCGATGAAAACAAAGTCACTGCGTTGATTGGCAAATATGCCTGCCCAAACCATCACACTTCAGCCATCCAAGCAGTTGACTTGACAAATACAAGCATCGGTGTACCGTGGCGTTTCATGTACACCTGCTCCCTGCCATTGGCCCTGAAGCATTGGAACCTCTTCTCGTCTCTGAAGACCACCTGTGACCATCTCTGCAATATCCAGCGTCGGTGTGCTGTGCACCGCTGGACCCCAGTCTGGCGATATCGGCGTGTCAGCACTGAGCCCACATACAGTCAATGTGGTCTGATCTTGTCAGCCCGGAGATGATTCCTAATGGTTCTTGCACTCACTTGCCTATGTTGTGTCCCTATATGGTCTCAGCGGCAGTGCGTATAGCGTGCTGGAGCCTGTCATTGAGGTGGCACAGGCAGGTGGTCATGACCTGTGGCCTGCCAGCTCAGGGATGATCTGTGGAAGTGCCGGTAGTGTTGTAGTGCTGTTTAAGTCACACAATTGTCGAGTGGTGGACCCCGAACAGCCTGACCACTGCCCGTCTGTTCCAGCTTAGAGCATGCTAATGGCTCAGTCTCTCTCACGTTGTGACACTCGTGGCATCTTGGATACAAGTTATTTTGGCGTCATTTGGTGTCTTTTTATACATGTAGGTAGGGGTTGTATTCAGGACAGGAATTGTCAAATGCATATCTGGGCATCACTCATGTGTAATCATTAACATAAAATGCAGAAACAGTCCAAATCACTCAACCAGAATGTGACAAATACACATTGACATTCTCTAAAATGCTCAAAATAGAGAACATGCACCATTTTTACAATGCCGGTCCGATATGTACTCCCTAAAAATGTGAGAATTTGTGTGTGGTGCATTTCTTTTTTCCTTGAGTGTATGTATTTTGGCTCCATGACTCGGGGAATTACGTTAATAATATGAAATCCGTACAACTCAATTTTAATTTATTTTCCAAGAGATAAGTTTTCAGATGTAAATGGCAATGAGCAAAAAACATTACTGGACCACCGGCATGTGGTACGCGTGGCCCGGTCGTGACTTTTTGACTGATGTTATGCTTCAAAGTTTGCCGGATAAGCCACCTGGCATATAAGCCATAGACACATTTTTCAGCTTGAGAGTCAGTGTGTAAAGCTACAGCTTATAGTCCAAAAATTACAGTGTTTGGTTCCACCCACTATTTTACATAAATGTAGTTGTTAATGTTTGTCCCAAAAGTCACATTTATCCAAATTCATCATGATGACTCCATTACATGATTTGTTGAATTTTGAATATCTAAGATTTTGCCATAGGGTTTTTATACATTTTTCTACTACACACTATTATCAAACTTAATGCTTGAGTAGTCCTCAACTTTGACCAAGAATTACAACAGAACGAAAGAAAAACCAGACTAAATTTTCCCTTTCTTTTGATTGCAAATATACCCAATAGTCAAAATACAGTGTATCAACTACATGTAACATTTTCTAAAAATTTTTGAGTTTAAATGCAAATCACTTGACATCAACCTATTAACCACTTCTTGCCGGGGACTCCGGAATCGGACAAAGGAAACAGGGCCCTGTAAAAAAGACCGTACTCCGAACAAAAGACCAGGCTGCTGGGCATTATCGACATTTTTCACTCTCAAAAGTGGTGATAATCCATCCAACCTTGTTTTGAAACTGTATACCAGGGTTTGGGGCATTTATAGCAAGCGGATTACCACAGGGGATAAAAGTGCTCCACCACCGCAGCGATGAGCCACACAGCTCCGCTGCACGCTAATCTGGCCCCTATTGAAAAGAGGTCAGCAGTGCACTGAGCCAGGTTCGTGAACAAAAGAAAGTTACATAANGAAGAATTTTGAAAACGGAAACGATGATAATTATGCCGGCCCAGCATCATCAACATTGAAAAATGCCCCGGCATGAAGTGGTTAAAAGGAACAGTTTTTCTACACATGTGTTTTTAGCCCATTGACTTTGTACATGTGTTCAGGCCACCATTATAGTAACTTCGTGATGTTTGATCGCTCTCAAAGGGGTACCCAACAAAGACCCTAATATAACAATTGTTGGAAATTGTTGAGGACATCATGATGACATTATCATCTGATTCATTGCTGATTTTTCAATATTTATTTTAGCCCATTGACTTTTTTCATGTTTTCAAGTCACCATTTTGATAACTTGCAATGTACCATCATTATCAAAGTTACAGCCAACGAAGACCCTGAAATAAGAATTATGCCAGATTGATGACATCATGATGTCGTCATCTTGTGAGTTTTGTAAATTGTATTTTGGTGTATTTTTCCCCAACTTGAAATCCGAAACAGCTCTGTGGTTGTTGCTGTCACAACCACCACCTCTGATTTATCAGGTGATGTTGAAAAATCAATGACTCAAATTTGACTTGAGCACAATTTGTGATTTGTTTGACTTCACTTTTGTACTCTGTGACTTTACTCAGCTTGACACAAATTTTCAATGACTAATTGTAGCACTGGTTTCTGTCCAAGGGGTGTTTTGCTTGGTAATGCATGAGTACATAAACATTTTAAGGGATGAAAATCAATTATGTGCAGGATACATATTCAGAGAATAGAAATTGGGTAATTCAACCATTTTGATTTGATTACAGTCCAGGCAGAGGTACTGAATTCCATGGCATGGCTTCCCCATCAACCACACTGCATTGTTGCGGGGGTTGCTAATAAGAACCTTCGGATCTTTGATGTCAGAGGTAATGTAAGGAACTTGTGTTCCTTTATGTATGAAAAGTTTCTTGAAGAATGTAGAGGACTAATATTTATATCTGTAATTGACATCCACAGTGATTTTTGTCTGTTCATTGTAAAAATATGACATCCGTTTGGATTTCTAGGACATAAATGCTGAGCCCATGGTACATGTACATATTTTAATACCAATTTCTTCCATTCATAGTGGCTGCTTGCCATCTTCTTTAAAAATGATGAACAAGTTTGTAGCTTGTGGGTATTAATGCGTTTTTATCAGTTCCAAAATTTGATGTGTAATTTGCATATGAAAAAGGAATTTGAACCCCAGGTGTTAAAATTTTATATTACACTTATACTTATTAGTGTATGCTAGTAACAGATAGAAAAAATGATAAATTGTCATGTGTTTAATGTTTAGTGATTTAAAACAATGTGTAGCAGTAAACCATGACAGCCTCTGCATTCCAGTTTATAAAAAGGCATAAACAGGTTCTCAAAAGGCTAAATATTTTGAGATCTAACATTTTGGAAATAGATTTGCCTCCCAAAAACCAATACACTACGAATTCATTGGCCAAAAATCAAGACAACAGAACTAAGAGGCACCAACTGGGCCGATTTCAGAAACGTGTGATGTCAAATTTTTTGTTTGTGTTGCATTGATGACGTAATGGGGGATGTGTACGGCAGGCATGCATGGAGGTACATGTACATGTACTTGTAAGCTGGTATCGTTGCACCCCAAATGCAGTTAAATGAGGAGTCTCCTGCATTCACATACATGTATATTGTATATACCCATGCCCAGCCTTCATATGCAAATTTCCCATGTTCCTATTACAATTCGCTGAAAAGACTTAATCATGCACTGCAATCCCACCGCCTTGATCGTCCTTCTTTTCTCAGTGCTTATATCATTTACTGATGTGTCTTTATGGCATTTTCAGAGTTTTGAGTTCTGTAACCTTTCACGTTTGTGAATTGACTTTCTGTAACCTTTCACGTTTGTGAATTGACTTGATTCCTGATTACGAATAAAGAGTGATGTCTAATCTTTTGGTAAGAGTGTTTTTTTTTTATTTTCTATTTTTGTTGTTCTTTCTGCAGCCCTTTGTCCTCAGTGTGGTCCGTGTGTTCGAATAATAACGGCCCAACACTGGATGGGTCAGGCCCTGGAGTGGGGCTTGGCGGGCTGGCCTGCTCCTTTGTGGTGCTGTTTTGCATTATCCGAGATTAAGGGCCACGTTAGGGAGAGACCTAATGGAATTAATGGGCCGGGGCTGAGCGAGCAGTTACTGCAACAGTACCCTGGATCCTTATCTGCATTGATCGGGTTGAGCAAGCAGTTGCCTAAACACTACCCTTGATCACACATGACCACGGCTGGAATTGATCGGGTTGAGGCAGCAGTTGCCGCAACACTACCCTTGATAAATAATGACTACACGATACACCTGCCAACCGGGCTGAGCGTGTTGTGCCGCACACTACCCAGGGTCATCGACACCCACTCCACGTATTTACAGATTGGGTTGAGCGTGTTATACCATAACAGTACCCTTGACCACAGTTGACTGGAGCATAAAGAGCTGTTCCTTTCTCTATGCTGCAGGTACTGGTCGTCACTACCTGCCACATCCCCGAGCAATCCTACCAACTGTTGGTCCAGCGGGGCTTGCGTTGTGATGGTCTGCCGTCTGCCCTGGGTCCCTCACCGGCTCCTGTTCGCCAGGGCTTTTGTCTCCCACTCCCCATCTGCAGGTCCGGTCTGCCGACGGCCTCCCGCTATCAGGCCACCGACCGTGACCTAGGACGCTCGTCATAGAATATGACTGACCATTCATACATACATGCGGCTCAGCATGCTTTGACCTATCACGACCTGTATTCCAGGCATTTTTAGGTAAGACGCTTAAACACTCATCGTCTTCTGCGTGGTACAAATGCAAGAAATCTTGCTCTACACCTAGGCAAGATATTTCTTAATCGGGTTTGATGACAGTGGTCCGCTCTCTCGGAGATGCTTTCCACTTAAGCGGCCGCTTTGAGTCAATCTCCTCTCCCTGGCAACTGCTCTGGCCCTGGATGCCCTGTGCAAGGATCTCCTTCCAAATCCTCACTTGGATTTGTTGCTTACTGCGCTTCTACTTCACATCCGGTTCCATCTCCGGCTTCATATCTCTCTCCATCGGTCTGTCCAATACATGACGGTGCCCGTTCGTTTTACACATGTATTTTTTTTAATTGAATTTGCGCTTACTACATGTAAATTCATTCAATAATAATACTAATAATTCTTCAACTTGTCCGGGTTCACTTAAGACTCACATCTAGCTCCACCCTGTGAACATGCTACACCTGTTGGTGTCCCCTTTCCGTGTTATGTACAGCTAGTGAGGTTTCCCATTTAGGCCTCTGCCTTGATCTGTCCAGTTTTCAGGGCATCCAGGCGTGCAGGAACTACATGTACACTATACTGGGCTGCCTTATGTCATTTACTCATGCAGCTCCTGGTGATTGTGAGTCTGAGTCGCGCATTCTAAACCCTGACCACAGCTCCAAAAAATGCTCATAGGCCTGTTGCTACACTATGCTTCAAACCGCTGGTTAGCACCCGAGACTCCATGCTTGGGGCCAGCTAGGCAGGAAACAGAGAAATCTGCTCTCCCGGCATAGCTCCACCTTTTTATTGCGTTTTATGGAATAAAACGCAATACGATCAGCTTACCCTGTGTGTTTTATTCTGACCATGGGTCTTCTGGTCATTAATGCCTGCGGTAGATGTCATCGCCCCACCTGCAAACCCATCGAGCACTCAGGCATGTAACAATCAAATGTGAACTCTGGACAGGCTCCCTTCTATCTCTGACTGGTGATCACGCCAATAGTATCCACGTCTCGGGCATCCTAATTCACCGAACTTCACGTCATAGTGAATTCTACACGCTCCCTTCATCTAATAATTCCTGACCCTCGATGCATTCTTCCATTCGGCCTGGCCACACCCCACATTGCTTTCTGGACATGAGTTCTTCTGTAGTGGGCGTGTCCAGGGTGTAGATACTGTAACTGTTATGAGGTCTGACGAAAGTGTGCTACTGTCCTTGCTCAATTTTGTTAATGGTTTGCCATGATTGCGTATCCAACTGTAAGCTGCGTTTATTGCAATGAAAAGGCAGACTTAGCAAGTATTTGTCATTTTCACCATTTATCCGTTCATGTTCTCTGTTCCAGTGAGAAAATGGAAATTGCTACATGAATATTGCTTGGATGGAGGATGAAATAGGATATTTGAATGCTTAAGTCATGGAGTGATTTTCCATCTTCAGACACTCCTTACCTGCCATTTTCTATTCTTGCAATGCGTGTGGAATGACCTAAATTTCCCATGCATGTGATGGATATGGCCATAGTCCTCCAACTTAAAGATACAAATGGCCACTTTGAACATAGTAATGTACAATTAGGGCTCATTACAAGAGGGCTCATTACCC